AGCAGCGGAGCGCACTTCGCACGCCAGCCTTTAACCCCCGCCGCTCCACGCTCTGAGGCTCCCACCAACTAAGGAGGCCCCCCCCCGCCTTTAACCATTTCAACCCCGGCTGCAGACGGGACTTTTCTCACCCAGCGCACGCTGCACAGCCTCCCGCTCGCCATACAGCCCCTGAAGAGCAGCAGGATGCTGGCTCCCTTGCCCACCCTTTGGTGGGCTGCATCTCAAACCCCCTCGCTGCATCTTTCTCTGCATCCACTTGTTGATGCAGCTCCCACCCCACCGCGTGCAGGGCCAGGACCGCTTTCTCCCCTGTGCCTGGGCAGCAGGGAGCAGAGAAGGGCTGGGAGCCTGCCTGCAGGCAGGGCAGTGAGAAACGGTGTCCTGCCGCCACACTTCTGCCCCGCAGGACGGTGTGGGATCCTCCAGAGGATCTCCCTGCCCTGTCCCTGCTGCCCCGGCTCCCTGACACAGACATCTTTGCAGCAGGAAGCCCAAGGGCTTTCCATCCCACTGGTCACAACAGGGCAGTGCCTGAGATCAGCAACAAATTTCCTCCTTTGGAGACACCCAGAGACCACCATTTACCTCCTCAAAGAGCAAGTGAGGGCACCAAGACCTCAGTGACCATCCAGACACATCTGTCTCCATGCCTACGAAAGAAAACCAACCTCGCGCTGCCATCTCCCCGCAGTGTGCTGTACAGTGCCTCATGCCCAAGCCAAGACAGGCTGGCTGCCTTCCTCCAAAGGGCATCTGCCTCTTCTACTGAATATATCATGGGGAACCTGCCCCTTCCAGGGGCTAAAGGAGGAGCATAACGACCAGTGAAAAAGCTTTAGCTATTTTGGGATCCAGAGACCCAAACACAGCTGCTAAAACTGATAGAGGTGTTGCAAGGGCTTTTCAGTGATCCCAAGCCCAGCTATCAGCATAGCAGGTCCATTGTATATGGCAGTGACCCTAAATACGTGGCTAGCCATGGGCTAGCACTGCAGAGATGCGTGCTGGCTCCCGGCACCAGCTATGGCTGCAGGCACCAGAGGGATGCTCATTGCAGCTTGGATAAATAGGACAGCCTGGGAGCTGAGGGAAGCACCGAGAAAAGCAGGGCTGAGTTTTCCATCAGAAAGCTCTTCAGCTGCTGAAAAGTTGGCTTAACCCCGAAGGCGCAGCTGCTTCAATGCCAGGCATCCTTTGTGGGGAAGGATGGAGAGGAAGGACACTCCATCTTCCTTCCCGATCTGCTCCCACCCTGGCACCGAGGAACCCTGTCTGCTGGCAGGGAGGGAGCAGCAGCAGAAAGGAGTCTGCACAAACCCACTGCAGCTCCCCACCAGCGAGACAGCCCGACCCTGGCCGCTGCTGAGCCTCGTCCAGCAGCAGGATGAGCCCCAGGGAGGAGGATGCTGCAGGGACCAGAAGCTCTGCTGGGTAAAATGGTGTTTACCCCTTGGGATAGGAAGCTGTAGACATAGAGTGCGCATAGCAGAAAGCCTGCCAGAGCTGGTGCAATTCAGGAAAGGGGAGATTTAAAGGGGAAAAAAGCCTGTCTGCCTCAGAACGAGCCTCTGAGGAGGCTGGAGAGACATGGCTACATGAACAGATGTAAAGGCAGGGCATAAACGGATAGGCAGATAGCTAAACTGGCTGCCACAGACCTCTGGGCACAGGTAAGCATATATGGGGCATCGGAGAGGGGAAAGAGGGGGCTGGAAGGGGAATGTTATACATATCTACATAACAGAAACCTGCCTAACTGGGTACAGACCCACAGCCTGGAAGAGCTATGCAGGAGCCTGCAGGCAATATGTCTCAACCACACTCACCTCAGAGGCCACTTTGGGCATCCGACAGCGGGAGCAGGTAGCCAGAGCAACCTCTCCTGCCCCGCTCTTCTGGGCCACCTCATCACAAATATCTCCCAGTCCCACCACTCTGGTGAATGCGACCTCCTGAGTGAGAGCGCTAGCATCAAACAAAGGGAGCAAGCTGGGACGTGGCGGAGAAAAGGGCAAGGGAAAAAGAACTCGAAATCCAGGAGGCTACAAAATCCGGATGCAAACACAAAGCCAGCAGACATGAAAGCAGAGCCACTTTTGTACCTAGACAAGTTTGCAGACCTGAGGTTGCATGGGGTAGTCATGCGGGTGGCTTCAGTTCAGGTCCATGTCTAAAAATATCGCCTATCTGAGAGGGACTCGGAGGCTGGCACTGGCCCTGGGGGCACCAGGCATACGGCAGTGGCAGATCCTGCTCCTCACGGTGACGTTAACAAGCCCTGACCTTCTCTCATCATCCCAGAGGCTCAGAAAGAAACCGAGACTGCAAGGACGAGTCCCTCCACCTTCCCGTCTCTCGCCTCCCAGCCGATTGTCAATCTCGGCTTTTATTAGTGGTGCAGTTTGGCCTCCACCTCCCTCGGAGATTTCTCCCTCGTTGCTCTAATCAGGAGCTTGCAAATGTCAAGAGTACAGGCCTGGAAGTAATTAGTGAGGGACCAGAGCCTGGCGGCCATGGAGCGGCTCAGCAGCAGTGCTGCTCCGACAGCGTGCTGGGGAGCCCCCCCCAGCCACTGGGACCTACGGACAGCCGCCCTGGATTTTATTCTTCGGCCTCACTGCTGCTCCTGGATTATTTTCCCCTTCTCCACACAGCTCAGGGCATGCCGAGATGCTCTCTGTACAGCAGGGAGCAAGTCCAGCTCCCTTGAGATTAATGCAGTGAGGGATGGCGAGACTGCACCCACAGCAGGACCCTACGCACTTGGCCAGCAAGTGTCACCTGCCTGCTCACGAGCAGCCTTCGGGACACTGACTCTTCCAAAAGAGCTCCAAAGAGTACTTCTAACTCCTTTTAAACAAGACACAGCTATTCACAGCCTATGGCCTTCCCACAAGCAGCCTGCCTGGGTAGGGGAACGCTATGAAGCACAGACACAGCTGCACCGGCGAGGTGCACTTCACCCTGGGACAGCAGCTTCTGCCGTGGCGGGCACAACAAACCACCATGTCCTTGTGAAAGGGGAAAGCACAGTCCTTAGCAGCCAAAGAAAACTAAATCTTAAGGCAAAGATAATGGGAAATAGCTTTCTTTTTTTTCCCCCCGAGATGAACTTTGGTGTCTACACCATTCAGTCTTGTTCGCAACTGAAGGGGTTAATGGTGCACCCAGGAAAGCGAAAACCCAGCAGAGTTGTAGGGGAGAGCAGTCCTTGGAGGACCTGGGCTTGCTTAATCAAAGAGCTAATCCTTGCTCCCAGGCATTCGCCCTCCAGCCCTGATGGAAGTGGAAGTTCTCCAGATCTCCCTCTGGAAACCCCAGACAAGCTTTTTCAAAGACGTCGGCTCCTCTCCAGTCCCCGGCTTGCAGACAGCTGCTCGGTGCTTTCCGAAAATGGGGCTCTTTTAAGGCATCTCTCTCCTGGGACATGTGAAATTTCTAATCCTGAACATCTTGGCCACACTATCTGGCCAAGATGTATGTAACACCTCCACGGCAAACAGAGAGAGCTGTGCCTCGCTGGTATCCTGCTACGTACAGATGGCGTCTGGGCTCGGGGCTATAAGATTTTTAACTAATATCTTTCTCCACTATTATCCCCTCCTCCCTTTTCTTCCACCTCCTCTTTCTCTCCCTCCTTCTCTCCATCTGTCCCTACCCCCTTCTCTTCTCCACCTTTCCTCTTGCACACTTGCAGCTGCTAATTTTTACCCAGCATATTTGGCAATCCATCCCGACACCTCTTCCCCCACACCCCGCCGCCCTGCTTCTTGCTTTTCCCGTTGGCTGCCAAATATTCCCATTTCTTCATCCGAAAGCAAGAGCGTGCAGAGAGAGCACCGTGCGCGGGCAGGAGGAGCACCAACACCCCATGCAAAGCAGCACAGCAGGGAGAATCACATCTCACAGTCCCGGAATAAAGCTGAGCAGCCGCCGGCACATGGAAGGAGGGAGGACAGCACAGCATCACCCCCTTCCCAGGAGGAAAGCCTTAGGAAAACCATTCACAGCTGGATTGACCGCTGCCCAGCCAACAGCACACACTCAGCTCTCCCCCTCTGTCACCTCCGCCTCTCTCCGGCAGAATTTATTTATCCCACTTAATTTTTCCAGTTGTTTTATCTTGTTTTATCTTCACACTAAATCAGG